GGCCAAAGTGATACAGTGGGAGTTGGCTCTCATGAGCCTTTTGTTCTTTTCCAGTTCCTTTGTGCTTTTATTCTTGACCTTCTTATTAGGCAATGATTGGAGGTTATTCACAACTGGGGTATTAGTTGTCATCATAGCCTCCAAACCCAGCAACCTTCTATGGTTATGGGATGTCAAGAGTTTTACTTGTAAGTTTATTAAAGATGCTAAAGTGTGCCTAGACTTTAGCCTCTTCATGTTTCATTGTGAAAATAATATTTTTATACACAAATTGCATGAAAAATAGCAAGTGGCAGTTTTTAAAGTTTTTTGTATGAAAATTTATATATTCTATATTCAAAGTAAATTGTAAAATAAAGTATATTAAATCATTAAAAGGAAGAAAGTGAGTACTGTGAAAATATCATACTGTAATAAAAATTGTATAGAGCTGTAATCCAATCCTGTCTCCAAACTAACAATTCATGGGAATATGAGTAAATTTGCTTTATGTATTTATGACTTAGTTTTTTAATTTTTTAATCAGTAATGATGGTCTTATAGTATGCCTGTTTCTTATGTCACATCTAACTAGAATGTTCCAGTGGTTTAGTTACATAAAATTACAGATACAAAGATGATGCTTTAATGTGTATTAACAGAAAAAGTGAGAGAAATCATTTCCTGAGATATATAATTACTTTTGTTTGAGAATTTTTGTCATATTTGTACATTAAATAGTATAAATCTTCAAATGCACAAATTCATAAATTAAAAAAAGATGTAAAGCTGTATTTTAGAATGAATTATTTGTAGTATAATATAATAAAACAATATAGCAATGAATAATTACATTCAACATTGAATAGTCAGTTCTAAAGTGTACATTCTAACAACGGCTTGGATTTACTTGGATAATAAGGCTACCATGCAATTAAAATCCAATTTGGGGTTTCACAAATCTTCTTATATCCATAACTTATGTAGTGAAAGTTTGTTTAACCTGTGAAGGTTAGAACTAAATAATTTCTTTAATGTATTCTGCTACAAAATCAAAACATCTCAATTGTGTCCCCTTCTATATATCTATCTACATTTAGCATACAGCTTCAACAACACTTTTAATTTACAGACCTCTTTGAGAAACCACAAGTTTTCTTAATGAATTTATAGATTTTCTTTCTCAACTCTCTGTGGAATCACATAGCCTATTAATCTTAGGTGATTTTAGTATCCCTATTGACAGCATTGAAGATGGGTTTATTGTAAATGTTATTTCCCTTTTTAATTCTCTTGGCTTCACTTGGCTTATCTCTCAGATGACGTTATCACAGCAACGATAGAGCATTGGCTCTCATTCACTGATTTGTGTTTGCAAATAAAATCCTACTTCCCATTATACTGCATGATCCTTAGCCTTAGGTATTTTATTTATATTTGTAGTTTTATGAATGTTTATTTTCAGCACAAAAAATTAATATTCATTTGATTTCAAAATAATATGATTTTCCTATTGACATTTCTGTTCAAAATGATTGCTGATTTTTTGTGACATCCATCACTGATTTGTCAATTATAATTATAATTGTGAAATGTACAAAGGATGTAACACTTTAAAGTATCCTTTGTTTTGAAAATAAACCCAAAGTCATCTCTGATACTATAGACCTTTATGTATCAATGGATATTAAATTTAGTGGCTTTTTTCCTTTTCCAGCCAAATAGTGAATATATACTATTGCAAATCTGACATTTGAAATCCACTAGAATAATACAAGTGTCCTAAATGTTTCTCTACAATTTCTTTTACCCTGTAATTGTCAAATGATATAGGAACATCTTATTTTTTAAATTATAATAAACTTATTTATATGTTTATATATCCATTCACTAAACTTGTGTGTTTATGTGTGTGTATTTATTCACAGCCTGCGATTATGAGCTTTTAAGTTTAAAGAATTTTCAGTGGCCTGTTCAGTATCACAGTAAAAAAGTCCAAATCATGGAATCATGATGAATTCAGTGACTATTACTCATTTTTAGGAAAAAAACATGTTCTGATATTGATGTGAATTAATTAATAGGGTAGAATTTAATTCTCTCTTGAAAATACATTGGGAGCAATATGAGCTAATAATTAAGATAGTAATTTGTCCTATTTCTAAATTGCTTAACCTGTTAAGCTATCACTATTTTTCTCTCTACTTATCTTATTTTTAAGATTCATCCTAAGACACAGAAAGCAGATAAAGCTCCTAAGCCACATACATTTACTAAACCATCTAAATGTTGTAATTAAAAAATTCAGCATGTTTAGGTTCTCAGATTGCTTTTCATATTAGTGCAATTTCTATTCCTCTAGTGCTATGGAAATACTTGGTTTTTATTTGGTACGAAGCATTAAAATATTTATGTGTAGTTGAATAATGTGATAATACTCCCTATTCATATAGAATCTTTTCTCCCTAGAGATTACAGAATAAATTTATAATTTTTTTCAGTTATCTTTACAATATCCCACTGATGTTAGGGACTAATTTGTATTCTCTATTGACTGGGAAACATGGTATTGTCACTAATATATTATTGTGTATAGGAGCTAAAGGACTTTACATAAAAAGGTTTTGAAAGTAAGACTTTTTGGTGATGACAATCACTTAGAAATGTATCACAAGAGAATTAGAGTTCTCTAGACTGACATAAGCAACAAAACATGTAAATAATCTTGAGTAGAAGCTGACTTGGACAAAGATGGTAGTAGTTTAGGCTGTGGGAGAAGAGAGACAGAGAGTAAGTTGAATTATTTTAAGTAATTGATTTACAAACCTATGAAAGCTGGCAAGTACAAAATCTATAAGGTGAGCTGATAGGTAGAAATTCAAGTAAGACTCAAAAAAGTTTTGGTCTTGAGTCTGAACTCTTCAGTGCATCAGAATAGAAATTCAGGCATGGTTTCTATGTTGAAGGCTTGTGGAGAGTTTCCTTTTCAGTGAATTTCAGTCAATGCTTGTAGGCCTTAAAATAATTGAATGAAATCCTGTAATGTTTTGAAGGTTAATCTGCTTTCCTCAAAACCTATTCATTGTAAATATAAATCACATCCAAAAAAATAACCTCAGAACAATATGTATTTGATTCCTTTAAAAAAAAAAACGTTTTTGGTGTTTGACAAAATGAATGGACACCATACTCCAGCCAAATTGACACATAAAATAAATGATCACAGTACAAGTTGCAGATGTTCTTCAAATCCTGTATACTTAGAGTCTACATGATTGGTTGAACAATGTTCTTGCAAAGTCTGTAGCTGTATGGGTCTTTGTATTTGTGCTGTATTACTATGTAGTTGAGATGCTTGCATTCTGTGTATGTTTAACTTCTTGTTAATCAAATTAGAACATGTGAGTGCCATTTTCTCAGTACCAGTCATTCAATGCATAGTTTTTGAATATCAGATACAGTAATGCTCATTTGAGAAATTGTAGTTAGCAAACTGGACAGAGTCTTGCACATGTGAACTCTGCTGTTGAGGCTGCATTTAAATTCAAAGTGGTTTTTCAGACAAGCATACCTGTCACTCATTCCCAGAATATTTATAAAAATTTTAATTCACGTATTTTACTTTTTGTGTGTGTTTTTATCATGATCAACATAATGTTTTGAAGAGTGTGTGTATAATAAATATACACACATATATAAATACACACAATATTATAGAATGATTATATTTAGCTAGTTAATGAACAAATTCATAATATCACATAAAACTATTTTTTTTCTCTTCTGGGGATTGAACCCATAGGTCTTCTACCCCTGAACTATATCCCCAGCCCTTTTTATTCTCCTGCCTCAGCCTTCTGAGTAGGTGGAATTGCGGGCATGCACCACTTTTCCTGATGGAAACTATTTTGATGATTGATTGCATTCTAGGCAAGAAGATGGTGATGTGTTTAGGTATGATCAATGTTTAATATATCAAACATTTTTTTCTTGAGTACCAGGGATTGAACTCAGGGTCACTCCACCACTGAGCCATATCAACAGCCCTATATTGTATTTTATTTAGAGACAGAGTATCACTGAGTTGCTTAGCAAGCCTTGCTTTTGCATAGTCTGACTTTGAACACAGGATCCTCCTGCTTCAGGCTCCTGACTTGCTGGGCATTTTTACTTTTGATTTTAATTTAAGACAGGGCCTCATTAAGTTTTCCTGGATGACTTCAAACTTGGGATTCTCCTGCCTCAGCCTTCTGAGTAGCTGCGATTGCAGGCATGCACCACCTTGCCTGGTGGAAACTATTTTGATGATTGATTGCATTCTAGGCAAGAAGATGGTGATGTGTTTAGGTATGACCAATGTTTAATATGTTAAACATGTTTTTAACAATCGTATTAAAAGAGCTCTGAGCATAGAATATGTATGTTTATTTAAAAAAATGGATTCATGTACTGTAGTTGTGGTCTTCTTTTATCAACAGACTCTTCTCTTGTTAGAAAATGTTTTAACCAAGGATACACAGAGATATAAATATACATCCTAGTCTTTTTACAGTTTTTCCCCCTCTTTATCTTCTCATGTTTCTTAGTTCTAAGTTACCTACTTCTTGGAACATACTGTAATCCTTCCTTGTTTACCACTGATAATGCATCAGTTCCTTTGCATTTGCTCTGATTGTTATCCTGGCCTCACAAAAGCACCAGGCTTGAATAATATTTTTCTGTTTCCTACCCCTGTCTTTCCTGGGTTTCTGTATGTTTCTTTGCTGCACCATTTATTGCTGAGTTTATTTTCTCTTGTGAATCCAGTTTGCTTTACTGTCTTTAGCTTTTACATTTGCACTTCCCCTATTGGACCCAGGTAAGAACCTCAGCTACAAGTCATCATGTGTTGAATCACTAATCTCAGAACTTGCATTTTATTTTCTTAATACATACTTTATGATTTGCACTCTTGCTGTTATTAGTAAAATGATAAAAGTCTGACTAGTTTTTTTTTTTTCTTCTTCTTCTCATTTTTCCAGATCAACTGATCTCTACAGAGCACAGGTCTCTGGATCTCTTAGCACCTGCTTCTTTGTTTTGGGCCCAAGGAGACAGCTTTCAGGTAATGAACATCATTGTTAATACAAATACCTTGGAACAATAGCTAACAATGAGCAGTTTTACACATTTATCTTTTATTGTTATCTATTCAAAATTTTATTGACTACTATATTCACAGTCAAGAAACTTATAGAATATAAAATTAAAAATAATATAGTTCTGTGTTTGGTCACATCCAATAATGAGTAAGGGAATGGATTTCAATTAATGTTGAAACAAAACAGAGTGATCAATATATGAAAAATTGTTCAGTACAATTGGCCTTAAATAAATCAAATCCATAATCAAAACTACAATGTTATAAAACTTCTCACCTCACTAGGATGATTAAAATCAGTAAAATGAAGAGCAGAAATAAACTCACATACACTGCTAGTGAAAGTTTATAATAATGTTATTGCCTTCAGAAATAATATGGCTGTTCCTCCAAAGTTTAAGCTGAATTTTAACATAAGTCAATGGTTGTGCTCATAGGTATGTTGCCAAGCAAAAAATGAATATATAATAGAGAAAATTAGAAGTAATCTTAAATTTTATCAATTGATGAATAATAAATAACATAAAGTGTATACAGATAATATCAATGAAATTGTATGATACAGTCATAAAATTTGGCAATTAAAAACCAATGTAGTGCCAATATATGGAATGATGAGATGGAGCTTTAAAATATTAAGTGATAGAAATCATTCAAAACACATAAGATATTGCATGATTTCACTTATATGAATGTTCTTAAAAGAGACACTCATAGTAAAGAAAGTAGATTACTTGTCTCAAGAATGGGGAGGGAGGAGGGAATGAAGAATGATCTGTCTAGCCTTTCTGATTAAGTTCACTTAGTTGTTAAGATCTAGAATCAGACATCTAATTGTCTCTAGTAAAAGCTGAAGAAAGGAGACTACATCTCTCAGTGTATCTGCCTCAGCCCTGGACCTTAAGAAACAATTGTGCTGGGTGCAGTGGGGCTCATCTGTAATCCCAGCAATTCTGAAGGCTGAGACAGCAAGATCGCAAATTCAGAAGGCAGCCTGGGCAACTTAGCAAGACCTTGTGTCAAAATAAAAAATAAAAAAGGGCTGGGGGTAGCTCAGTGGTATAGAGCTCTGGATTCAATCCCTAGTACCTCCCACACACACACAAGAGAGAATAATTTGTAATAAATATGGGATAGTTTTTGTGTGGTGATGAAAGCCTTCTCAAACTGATTATGGTGTGGCTGCAGAATTTTACAAATACACCAAATTCATAAATGTATACTTTACAAAGGAAAATTGCATGATTATGTGTATTACATTGCTATAAAGATATGTTATAAAGGGTTATTAACACTAATATCCTTCCATTTTGCTTTGAATGACCTTGTGATATTGTTGTCATATGTTAATCATATATATTTTAAAGTCTATATTTTTCACTAAAATATGTAAAAATGAATGAGTTAATGAGATGTTGGTATATTATTGAAATAGCATTGAATAGGACTTAGGAGAGCTGACTATTTTCAGTTCTCAATTTCTGTACTTGACAATATAATGCTTGGTCAAGTCATTCAAAGTATATTGGTTTCAAATACAGAAAAAAAAAATACAAAATATCCATCAGTTTCTCTCAATTTTAACTGCCAAACTTCAGTATAAAATTATTTTCTAATGCTTAGAACAAACAGTAATATTGATAAAAATATTATTTATAATTGTCCCTCAAGCCAATATATATATATATATATATATATATATATATATATATATATATATATATATACCAAATTAATATTTCACGGTCAATTTTGTTGTCATCTACTATAAACTCAATGCAGACACAAAATTTACAATAAAACGTTTAGTTGTTTCTTTCTTCTCCCATCTCTTAATCTGAAATATTTATAAAGCTAATTGGGGCGGGGGCATTCATTAGGTAATAAACATTAGGTGGCATTGGTGCTAGACTGAAGTTGTCTATGTGTCAGAGTTGATTGTAATGAGGAACCAGATCACATAACTCATAAAGCTGAAAGTATATTATTGAAATAACATTGAAAGGGACTTAGGAGAGCTATTTTCTGCTCTCAATTTCTGTACTTGACAATGTAATTCTTGGGCAAGTCACTCAAAGTATATTGGCTTCAAATCCAGATGACTGGACTAAGTGAGCTACAAAGTCTCTTTAGTACTTAAAATTCTTTGATATTTTAAATTAACATCTTTCTACTCCTGTTAACTTCGTATCTATTCTTGAGTCAAGGGTATGATTGAATTTTCTTTTTCATAATTAACTATTAGATGCAACCAAATATAACCATTTAAGAAGATTTCTGCCTACATTTAGTTTTAACAACGGGTGTTACATAGGTATATTTGAACTCTATCATCAAATCATCAGTTTCCCTCAATTTTTAACTGCCGACACTTCAGTATAAAATCATTTTCTATTGTTTAGAACAAACAGCAATATTAATAAAAATTATTCTTTATAATTGTCCCTCAAGCCACATGTAGTTAACAAAAACTTGAAAGGTGGTGAGTGTAATCAAGATTTTAAATTTCAAATTTTACTTAATTTTAATTTACTTATATTTAAATACCCACATGTGTACTATACAAAGTAGCCCCAGATTCTACTATTTGTACTTGAATCTTCATCAATGCATACACACAGAAGAATAGAAATGATGTTGCTCCTCTCTTAAACACATGCACATATATTAATGCTTGAAAGAGAAGACACCTTTATGGTTAAGGTTATGGACTTTGAATGCCTAGATTTGAAAACCTTCTGTGCTGTTATTCACTGTGGGAACTTGTATTGCCTAACTTCTTTGTTTCCTAATTTTTTTGGCCAGGGTTACCAGGGATTGAACTCAGGGGGACTCAACCACTGAGTCATAACCCCAGACCAATTTTTTATATTTCATTTAGAGACAGGGTCTCACTGAGTTGCTCAGCACCTCGCTATTACTGAGACTGGCTTTGAACGCAGAATCCTCCTGCCTGAGCTTCCCAGAGCTGCTGGGATTACAGGCCTGTGCCACTGCACCCGTGTGGTTTCGTATTTTTTAATGTATAAAATAGGGGTGATGATATTATTCTCATTAAGTTAATTAACATATTTTACATACTTTGAATAGTGCCTAACACATAACAAGTATAATAAAAATTACTATTTGCAGGTAAATGCCCTTATAGTTTCTTATATACCTGGCTTTGGAGAGCATTTAGTTAATTTACTTCTAACTAAATCTTATTAAACTTGGTGAATAACAAACACATTATTTTTAAAAAGTGGCAGTTTCCTTTTGTAGGAGTTACTGAGTAAATGTATTTTACTTATGAAATAGAAGGACAAAAAGGAAGAATAATTTTATTCTAATGCATATCTGTGATACTGCCAAGTTATAATGTTTGCTAATGAATTATTCCAGAATAATAGAAAAACACAGCAAGAGCCTTGGTCTTTGCCAAACTCTCAGGGAAAGCAATTTGAGTTCTTTCTGCTCTGTGCAAGTATTCAGGAGAAGGGCATGGGGTATGTCTTTGCCCTGTCTAACCCCAATTGAGGCTCTGTTCAAGTGCATTTTCTAAGTGTGATGTATGTTAGAGCTCCTTGATTATGTTAAATGAATTCCAGTCATCCCTCAGGCATTAATGTTACTTACTGAAAAGAAAGTGACCTAATGGTCACTGAGAATTTTGTTTAATTGTACTTATTACAGCTTCTATGTAATTTGCAATTATTTAGGAGTTTTTATTGTTGTTATTATTATTGTTGCTTAGGGCAATTTAAAGAACTCTGCCACATGAAGTGACGTCAATTTATCCAGATGTCATTTTGTTTTTTTATCCTGAGGTAGAAATGGTAGAAGGTAGAAAAAGATAAGAAGAGAGGGAGGCTTAGTAAATAAACAGGAAGCAAATTATTTGGCAGAAAACCAAGCTCCATTCATTTTGCTTGTAATAAAAAATTACATGCTTGAAAATGATATTTATTTGGGGAAAAATTGAAAGGGTTAAGGTAAGAAATTGATTAACATTAGTCAGAGATGATGGGAAATACAATTGTTTCCTACCCACTCATGAGATTGAGAGAATCATTATGTATAGCACCCTATTTTAAAACATTGTAGTTTTTTAAATGTTTGATATTTTTTAAACTTAAAAGTCATTTTTAAAAAAATTAAAGCTATCATTACCACTACATCACAACCACTGTTGTTACTACTTGTGAATGTACTCTCTTATGAACAGAAGAAATAAAGGGCAAATTTATAGGGCAATAGGGTCACAGTCAATATAATACCATTCCTCTTTTGAGAATTTCAGGCATAAGAGATAAATATTTGTAGGTAAAGTGGTCAGATATCTTCAGGATGTGGCTGAGAGACAAAGGGAATAAATCTTTGTCCTCAAATACCTTCACAATTTTTAATAATCCTTGCATTGAAGGGTAGTAGGAATTCTACTCTGTTCAAATGAGAGGTAAGAAATACTGAAAGTTATTAGCTATTTAAGAAACTGTGCATTTTTCAAGGCCATTTATAAGATAATCTCTTAAGAATTATCCAGAAATGCTAAGTGTCACCAAATTTGACCTCTATTTGTCTTTCTTGTGATTATTTTATAAATTTAACATTTCAGCTTTCAAAAAGCAAATCACATTTAGAATAAATATTTGGCAAAATATAGTAAATACAGAACTTGAAGTTTGGATACTGAGCACCCTATTGATACATAGCTTTAAATATATTGCAATGAACATATTCTAGAATACATTAATATTCTAGACATAAACATACCTTATTAAAATGAATTTCAGAATAATCCAAAGAAATATCTTGATAAATTTACCACTAATATCATTAATCAAACATTTATAATGACTTTGTTGCTTTCTTCTCAATAGATTGATGATTATCATAAGTACGTGTGATTTCAGAATAAGTTAAATACTATAAAATTAATAATAATTCCATCTACTGGAAAGGATTACCTAACAGTTTTCTGA